TGACGGCCAGCTGTTGCAGTCGAATACGGATCAGTTTCATGCACATGCCATGAAAATACAACGAGATGTTAGTAACTTACACTGGTTCCGTGAACTATTACTGACGCAGTCTCATTAAGATAGCCGCTGATCGATGCTGATTGATAATGATTCCGTTTATTCCTCCACGTAACCCCGCTTGCCAATAGTCTATCGAACGTTTTATTCTGCGGAGTGTCCGTTCACGACGAACTGTTTTTTTGACTCTTTTTGAGCGTAGTATGATGAGCATGAATGAACTGTATGTCTATGGTGATCTTTGGAATGTATGAAGAGAACTCTATTGGAAGAGGTGAAAGCTGAAAAAGTTTGTTGTGTATATTGTGATGTTTCATTGAAATTTCAGTTGAATCGGATTTTCCAACACAGCAATGTTCACAGTCATTATGCTGGTAGTGAGGTCACTCAGTTCAGGTTAGCAATCAAGCCCGCATTCTTTGAACTTGTTCGCTTCAACCAGTTTGAGACAGTCAAAGATTTGCTTTTAGTTTTGTTATGTTAATGCCATAATCAGTTGGTCTATTACGATCAATCAGTAGATCAATCTACCATTACTTGGTNAGTTGACATACTCAGAGTGAAACTAATAGCCATTAGCTTGGATTAAAGCTGGCTTGAACCTCAACGCACCCTCTTTAAATGTCTCTGTCTGTTTTTAGGTTTGTTCCAGCAGTACCAGCCCTGGACGTTTCGTTCAACGTCCGTTTGCGATCCACTGTATCGGTTGATGTACTCGATTTACTTTCAATTATGCGCAACTATCTGAGTGCTCGAGGTTTTGACGGCAATACCATCGATATTCGAAGCATCAGTCTTGAGCCGAGTCAACGTTGATGGTCAACGCAGAACTCTGTTGAATTCATTCGCAGATATGACGACCCACAGAGCATATTCAATGTAAGAATGATTTGCAATCGCAGTCATGAAGTTAAGATATCAACGAAATGAATCACAACGATTCTGACTATCACAACTTGACCTATTGATAATTGATTTAATGATAACAGTGATGATAATCTGATATTTAATTCACTTCAATGCCCAATTTCGTTTTATTATTGTTTTCCTTCTGTTGTACATACTGGTTGGCTGACCGATGAACGTAGCGATTCTAGAGACTTTTTGAAATCTTCGTAATTTCTCTTTGAATATATATTGTGCATAATAAATGACTTCACTTACTGTTCATTTGAACGAATTGATTACTTTTATTCTAACTTTTGATGTGATCTTGTTATTGTTTTATGGTGACTCGTAATCACTGTTATGTGAAATCAAAGAAAGCCTCAACTCAACTTAGCATTCATTATTCATTTGATATAGCATGCACACACACAAACATATTAAGCAGTTATAATACAATCAAGTCGAACTTCAAAAAATTACTTAACAAATCAATAAATAATCAACATAAGCAGTAAACAATCTCATTGTTCAACCAGTCTGGTCTACGATAACAATTTTCTCATCTGCAATAAACTTAATCTCGATAAAAGCGCTGATACACAGGACAGTAACTGATAAGATTATGGTAAACAGCAATGCAAATGCTTGACGATAACAATACTAGCGGTAATAATAGTTATA